CACACACACACACACACACACACACACACACACACACACACACACACACCGATGTCTAATCCAGTGATGGATGTTTTCCATCGCAAATGGCTCAGCAACCTCTAAGCTAAATAATGTTCACGCAGGTAATGGTTTAATATGTCTAAAAGAATTAGGTGACTGAAACAGAGTGAACTACATGAAAGTTATTGGCAAAACAATCACACCTTAAGGTTTCCATTCCGAAATCGCACAACAATTGACTTACGATTCCACGTCATTGAGATGCCATCAGATGCTCTCAGAAACACAGTTGTCGGTTTTCAGCCGTTGCTTTACTAAAGAGGCCGTGGACAGATATGCAAAATATGGGCTCCAGTCAGCAACTTTCCTTTATTGTTAGTTCTTCCACTTCTTTTTGGTTTCGTCGACATGCTCTAAAAAGAATGAAAATGAAAAAATAAATCTGATTTTTCCATTGTCACACATCCTCGCAGGGAGAACAAGAAAAAAGTCTGATGTGAATGCTGTATGTTTTATTCATAAAAAAACACCAAAGCTGCGGCATGTTATTTTTTTGCATTTATTGGGGACTGAAGAGTTGCCATGTATTCTATCTAATATTCAGATAAAATCTGAAGTAATTAAAAAAAAAATCATCTAGATTGTTATGATAGATACGTATATAACACTGGAGAATTAAAGAGCATATTTATGTGTGATTAGTCACACTCTTTCCTGTGTATTATTGTATATCAAAGAGAATGACAGTTTTATGTCATTTCATGCACAGTTATCTATTTTAGATGCTAGAAATGTTCCGTTCTTGGAGATGAGGTCTGTACATGCTTTGTGCTTCCAAATCTTTTAAGGGCCAGTCGTGAGAAAATAATGAATTAAGTCGCCATGTGTAGGACTACTTGGTGGTAGTATCTCAAAGAGACACTGTGGCAGAGACACTCACCTGTTGGAGGCAGTCGCAGGCAACTTATTTATCCGTTCTCACACATTAGAATCTAATAATTATCTTCTATTATTTTTTAAATTTATTTCTTCTCTCCTAAATTTTCTTCTCAGTTAAGCTTAGGCCAGTTTGTTTAAATTTCTTTATTTATATGTAGTAGTTTCATAAATTCTTTAGTGGATGTCTGGTTTAAAATGTTTTTATTTTCTTTAACTTAAGCTTTTCGGGGACATATATCGACAGCCTTTTTTTCATGAAGCCTAATTTGCGGGTGGGTGTGCAAAAGTGCATAACATTACAGAAAAATATTGCACTTATTTTCTGAATATGGAAGAAAAAGTTGGCCCTGTGGTGCAAATATGTGAGATACCGTAAATGCTAAATATGAGAATGGATGTGTTGCATCATGAGTAGCAGCATTGGTCGCGTTCATTGTATCTCAGGGCTCCTTGTGTCCTAACAAGATGCTTTTTGTTACTTCACTCTGGTGTACCAGGAGTTTCATGGGAGTTTGTAACTGTAGAGAAGATGAACAAGACTGTTTCAAATATGGGAGACAAGTGTTAGCTTAGCAATAGAGTGCTACTATGAAAATGCCTCTAATTGTGACAGGCTGATTCTTGCACGTCTTATTGTGTACTTCAGTAACTTACTACCTTTCAAACACTGTTTTTATTTTATTCAAACAACAATAGAATCCAACATAAAAACACTATAGAGTTATGATTGTGCACTGGCAGTTTGGGCTGATAAATAAACCAAACCTTTTGCTTGACCAAACACTGAACTGCACTTGTATGTTACAATTACTGTGCAGATGACCGCAGTGCCTCCTGTGTTCACCATTGTGCCTCATTTCTTGGATCTCTAGCGCGCTATCCAGTCAAAAACGATTACAAACCAATACAAGAATGTCACATTGTTGTACTCGACTGTAGTACACGAGTAAAACAATTAGAATCATTATAAGAATCTGTGTGGTAGGGTTGAGGTATAGAGGATTAAAAGTCTAATATGTTTTCAAACTTGTTTTCTTTTAGCCATTGTGTTCTGCATTTGCCATCATACTTTCTTTAAGATTAATGTTTTTTTATACATTTGTGCAAAAGACCTTTTAGTAATTTCACTTTTGCAAAAAACGACAACAAACACTTAAAAAAAAAAAAATGAAAGAACCAGCACTTGATTACAAAAGAAATGGGCCACGGTGTAATTGAATGCATGAAAGCTGATTATATAGTCAATAATTATAAAATATTAAAAAACATATTTGAAGGGAACATTGATGAGATCACAGCAGAAAATCAATGCTTAGCAGTGAGCGATCGATGTTGAGAACATATCTCACTGCAGGTCACATGCATTTGGTCGTAGAATGTAAGTCTGGCTGTTTTATAAAATAGCTTCTAGTGAAATGTATGTAAAACATGGTAATGTCCTCAGTTAAACCATATGTTTCATTGATTACTGCATAATGTGTTGCATTGTGAAGTGTCTGAATATGGGAACGCCTGTTAGGATTGCCAGAGACCATTTTCTGCTTCCATTACAATGTGCTGTAAATGTGTTTTATTTGATTCAATTGAACAGTATGATACAGTATTGAGGCCCTACTAAAATGGTGGTTTTCTGATTTGTATGATATTTATATCTTACATTTATATCTGTTTGTATGATCTGCTATCTCTGTTACATTTGTTTATTGTTAGATGTTTCTTGTTGGGATATACAAAGTAAAACTACTTTTATAAATCATTTCTGAATCTCTTTTAATTATTTTGATCACTTTATGTCTTATTTATAAAAATGTCTACCTATGAAGAAAATATAGTTTCTGAAGACCAAACACCATGTGCTCTTTTGAGACAGCGGATTATATTATTGCCATCTTTCAATTTAAAAAAAACCGTCCTATCAGTTTTACAGTATTTTTTTAAAAACTTTTTTTGTTATGTATTATGTTATAATGCTATTGCCTCTGAATGACTAAATGTGTTCTTACTAGTGTAAGTGTTTCAGTGGTGGTTAATAATGCTGGTGGACTGCATTTGGTTATCCATCCTGCCACCTAATAAAATACATTTTGATAGCACACATGTTAGACCCCAAGCACAAAATAAGCATAAGCAAAATCTGCCTTTTAAAACTCACTTGCACCTATTTGGTCAATTTGTGTGCTCCTAGTTTATTACACCCTGTTTTTTTACAGTGTTTTTACACAAAATAATTATCACTTAAAGTGCAAAACCAATTACATGTAATATGGCACCTATGATCCTGCACACATGTTCGTCTTCGGTTAATTTCAGTCGATAACTCGGATTTTAGCCGGCATAAAACCAGCAAAATGTCTCTGAAATGAAGAGGTTGCCCTTTGGCATCTTCCCGGACACGTGAGGGCGCTGTCTGGAGCGCGAGCTCCATCCTTGTCCAGCAGCAGCTCCGTTGCCTACGTCACCACATTCCACTGAATGCGATGGAACAGCGTGTATAAACGTAAAGGTGGCCTCAGAAGACACTGGCAGAAACTTGTAAGTAGAATGATAAAGGTGACGAGATGTGTGTGTTTTTGTGAATCTCTCTCTCTGGTTCACGCCAGTCGAACATAAATAATATTTTCAGAGCACCGATTAACTTCTCACAGAGTCACTTGAGTGTTTCTTCTGCCGGTTGATGTGTGTTAGGTCTGTGTTGTGGTGAAATCTGTGTTTAGATGCAAGATGAGGGAAGCGGCCGTCCTGCTCGCACCGTGTGTGGTTGTGTGTCTCCTCCTGAGCTCCAGCCAGGCAGCCAGACAAGGACAGGACATCAAATGTGGAGGTATGTGTCTCACTCTATGTCCAGGGCACGAATAACGTTACATAATCAAGTCCTAATGCGCACGAGCGTCCTCTCCCTCTGCTCCTTGCAGCGTGCAGGGCTCTGGTAGATGAGTTGGAATGGGCCATCTCCCAAATAGACCCAAAGAAAATGATCCAGACGGGATCCTTCAGGATCAACCCAGACGGCAGCCAGTCCATTAGAGAGGTAAACCTGCAGCAGCACAGCCACGTAGTAATATGTCCGACCCACTCTGTAGACGGCACCACTTCAATACTATAGTCCACTATGAAGTAGTGCTGCACGTGTGGTTTATCAACTGTCTATAACTCCGTATATGTAAAACTGCCAAGTGCCGGATATTATGGTGCGAAAAAATAAATTGTTATCACTTTGTTAATTATTATCGTCTGGTAAGAGACACCTCACATCTTCACTAACTCGGAGTTTTTTATGTCCTCTGATGGCACCAGATTCCTCTGGCTCGCTCAGAGGGAAACCTTCTGGAGCTGATGGAGACTGTGTGTGAGAGGATGGGGGACTACGGTGAGCACACAGATTCTTCCACAACCAGGAAGTCCTACATTAGGATAAAGTCTCGGAGAGGTGAGGCCATGGACCTCTCAGAGGCCACGCTGGATTCACGAGTTACAGGCAGTTTAAAATTTGCAGTGAGTACAAAATATCACCAAATGATTCTTAAATGCACCATCGTATGTTTGAGTTACCTTGCTTTTATTGTTAATTATTATAATTTTTTAAAAATCAGTGAATGGTGCCGCTTGTAAATGTTTTTTAAAACTTATTTCTGCAGTGTGAAACAATTGTTGAGCAGCATGAAGATGAAGTCATTGAATTCTTCGCTTATGAGTCAGAAAATATCAAAGACAAACTCTGCAGCGAGAGGACAGGTATGTTTAAAACATGCCTGATTTATTTTTAAGTCTTAGATACTCTTACATATTTCTGTTATGTTGTTCCCATCCGGCGACTCTATTTTAAATCCTTGTTTACATGTTCTGTGTGCTCTGCAGACCTCTGTGACCACGCTCTGAAAGTGTCCCACGATGAACTTTGATAGCGTCGTCTCTTCTCAGCCGAAACGGAGACGTTGGGTGCTGTACTGTTTTCAGTTGTCTCTTTATCACCGGTTTACGTCATGCCAGTAATAAATTATAATGTATGATAATAGGAAATCCACCTGTAGATACAAGTCTTGTTCCTCTGATCTGTGACAATTTAAGGACCAGTTTGCCAGTTTTAGCTGCTGCTCTTTGGACTATCTTGTCACTTTTTTATATACTGTAAGTTATTATACTTTTCAATATTCTGTGTTTCATATAAAACCCCTTTTCTTGCCTTAAATTGCTCTTAAGATGAAAGTTATACTTCCCAGTGCGTACAGGATTAGTTGTGTGTGTGTATACAGTAAATGTTCTAATTTAAGACACAAGTACACAGAGATCAGGTTGACATTTGGTGAAGTGGTCCTTAAGTCCATATAAATTAATTGATGGTCTCTCTAAAAGCCATTCATGGCATTAATGTTTTTTATTCATAGTGAATGGATAACCATGCTGCCCGCTCACCAATGAAAGAGTTATTTGATGCCCAACTATATTTTCATTTCTAGTTGTAAGTTTTTAATGCTCACCAATATTTATTGAACTGTCTAAGATCACAGGAATAACTTGTTTTGGGTGAATATTTCATTAGGTAAAACTGAAAAGTTAAACACACATTATAGAACATCAGACATGAAGATGATTTGAGTGGAGTTAGTGGTGAAATGTGCCTTTTATTGCTGAACAAATGTTTCCCATATAACGTCACACTCTTTAAACATTGATCCTCTTTCACTATTAGCCCCGTGGTATTGTTACTGTTGATGTGAAATGTATTACAGTTTAGAAAACAGTTACAATGTTGATGCTTAGGTGGGTGTGTTGATGCTGAAAATGAACTTATCACATGTTTTTTGCCAATTGAGAATCCTTTTTGAAAGTTGCAGCAAAGTCAAAAATAATTTAAGGAAAGAAGAACATTTTTAAAGTTCTGAAAACCTCCAACCACTGCCTTGTCTCAAAGTATGAATTTAAGCTTAATTTTGAAGCGTTAAGCAGCATATAGCCATTACAACACTCCCAAGGACTTTCCTTTTTGTCTAACAAAGTTTTGGATTGTAAATAGGCTGAAATGTTTGGGTTAATGTTAACAGTCATTGTTTCTGAAAAGGTCTACTTTCCCTCCATGATGTCCTTCTGTTTCAGAGCAGAAAATAGCTTTATATCTAAGTACAAAATAGTTTTTAGCTTCAGGAGCAGGCAAATGTCTCCTCTTCTGTTCATTAAATACTAAATCTGCAATCCCATTGAATTATGGTATTTGATTAAAGTTTTTACTTTTCAGTTCAGTTTTCTTGTCTAGTAAAACTGAACTCCAGTGTAATGCCACTAGAGTGTGCTGTAGTCCACAATCTGATAGTTGAGTCTGAATTAAATAATCCTATTCAGTTGGAAAGTCCACATGCTGTACTGTTGATGTAGAATAAAAGTATTTTTGGTATAATTTATTTTTTGATGTGTGGAGAAAAAATAAGTTGCTTTCTCACAGGACGATTTGTCTGCTATTTCCTTTTTTATATATAAAATGAATCCCAAAAATGAGTAACGGTTTGATAATTTAAGATCAGTGATTTACAAATGTTTTCACACACTGTCAGCAGTTGGTTGTAGCTAGTGTTTTTCAATGTATTGTTAGATATTTCTTTGAGAGGAGGGCACATACAGTAGCCAATACTTTATTACGTAATATTTATATTTGGAATAACGGACTGCTGTCAAATACTGAAATGTAGGTGGGAAGACCATAATGACATTTAAATACTGCATTAAAAAAATACTTCTCAACATGTAAATAGTCGCTAGAGTTCAGTTGTATAACATAGTCTTCCTCAACAGATGGAGTTTGTCCAGTTGTCATGAAATCGTACATTTTTTTTAATTTCCATTTTTTCTCTTCAGGACTTGTGTTGTCATTGAGATTGAAAGTTCATTCTTGACCTTGGAAAGAGCAGATAACAAAACAATCACCACAAGAGGAGATTAACTTTCCACAGCATGTTGTTAATGCACTCCATTGTTTTATTTACTTACAATGCAGAATAATGGATTGATTTCTGCCAGAAATATCACCACACCATGAAATCACTCCAAATAATCAATCTTTTATTATATCCTCTTTCACAATTTCTCAGCCTAATATTAACCTTAAACACTCTAGAAACAGTGGAAACATTTGGGAAAAAGGGTATGACATGGTCTGCTTTACAAGAATAGATTTTAAGATTTCCCTATTGCCAAATTTCTACATTTCTAAAACGACAGTGAATGTATCATTACTTATCCATTAAAAATAAAAGCTCCATTCCTTATCAGGCACAATACCACCGTCGATTGTACTGTATGTCGTCATTAGATATTTAATTACATGAATCAGAACATTGTTTATCCAGTCAACTCACTTTCAATCACCCTTTCTGAGACCGCTGAGTGCATGAAAACCCTCTGCTCGTTTCCTTCTCTCTCTGTTTCCGTCATTTCCGCTGCCTTGGTTGTTCTATTCGTCACCTCCACCTGACAGTCCTCACTCTGACTTGACACATTTGTGACGCTCTCGTCTCCATCACCATCTCCCTCTTCCTTGGCTGCAGTCTCATCTTTTACTTCAGCAGAGCAGCATCGCTCTCCCTCTGCCGACTGAAACTCCTCGTCCTTCCCCGTCATGCTTTCTGTCCAGGCGTCAGGTGGCGTTTCCTCAACCTCGTCCTCGTCTGCAACGACAACGGTGTCCCCAGAGCCGTGGCTGCTGGTGCTGCTGCAGGACAGTGTGTCTTCTTCAGCATGTCCGCCTATCTCTTCATAACACAGATCCTCCTGGATTTGTCCCAACTCTACATCCTCTTTAACACTTTCTTCTGTTGAAACTGCACGTTGTCCTGCTCCATCAAAGAATATCCTCTCAGACTCCATGCCTACAACCACACCCAGGCAGCGCAAGTCCTCCCCTACACTCTCTGGATCCCACAGCTCACTCACTTCCTCCTCTTCATTCTCAGAGTCTGGCGCTGTATGCTTCCTAATGCGATTTACCGCATCCCACAGGGCCATGGGATACTGGGGCTCTTCTTTGAGGGGTAATTCAGGGTCAACATCTCCACCTTCCTCTTGAGGAGGAGAAAGAGGAGTTGAGGAGCTGGAAGGTAGGACTGGGGGTAGATCAGTGCAAGAGGAAGATGAGAACTGAAGGGATTCCTCACAAGAGTCCAGATGAAGAAAAGGAGGGTCAATTTCATGGATGCCAGCATCAGGATTTAGAGCTGAGGGACAGACCGAGTGCAAAAGAGAAACAAAGTCTGCGTCTGGCTCGATAGATGTGTGTGCTGGAGAAGGAAGGTCGGGGGGTGAGAGCACATCCAAAGGTGATTGAAACACCTCCCAGTCTGAGTCTGACGATGAGGGAGAAGAGTTAGACGGTTCTGTCTGTGGTTCAGTGTCCTGCAAAATGTCAATGTCTGTTTGAGTGTCTGTAGCATTTTCTGTGGATAGTTCCTGTTCCTCATCAGCTTCTTGTTTTGATTGCTCCTCAGTCATGAAACTTTCTTCTTCATTAACAAATTGTTGCTTCAAAATGTTGAACTCTGTTTGAGTTTGACTGTCAGGCACTTTTTCTTGGGATATTGTCTGTTCCAAAAGACCTGTAGGATCCTCTTTGTCTTCTTTTGGGAGCTGCTCTTCAGTCATATAACTTTCTTTTACACAAGCAACATCTCCTGCTTGGACACATTCAAGTTGTTGCTGCAAAATGTCAACCTCTATGGCATCTTCTATGGATATGTTAAGAGTCTGTTCCGTAGTATGGTGTGCGGGATCCTTATCGGCTTCTTTTGTCTGTTGCTCATCAGCAACATTGCTCTCTTTCACACAATCGGCATCGTCTGGTTGGCCACATTCAAGTTGTTGCTGCAACACCAGCTCCTGTGTCATATCTTTGGCGAAGTCCTCAAGGTCTTCACTGATCTCACTGTTTATTACATGTGATGTTTCACCCTCTTCATCCTGGTCCTCAACAACAGTTAAAACAAGAGAAGGACTCTGGGAATGGTCTGTATGGGGAGTGGAGCGTGATCCAGGGGAAAGAAGTGATGGGGTGTGAGGCAGAGATGAGGTTTCAGGGTGAGGAGCCAAGTTTTCTGCAGAATTGAGGGCAATCAACTCAGGATCAGGACCCTCCTCTTTGTTTGATTCTGAGATGTGCATGAGAGGTGTAAGATCGGAGGATAAGGGCATGACAGAAAGGGCAGAGTTTGGTGCTTCATAGAGTGGAGAAGGTGAAAATGAAGAAGAATCAGAAAGGTTGGTTGGTGGACTGAGACACTGAGAGGGATGAGAAGAGGTATCATTTTCTTCCTGCTCAGTTGAACCCTCTTCACTGGCTGGTTTGAGCAGAAGATCCTCATTCATTTCAATTCCAGGCGAAGGTTTGATGTCATTTTTGAGTTGGTAGACAGTGTCTTTCTCTTCAGACATGTTAGACACTTGATCCTGATATCCCGCAAAATCCCCAGCACCTTCATTTGATGCCTGATCTTTGGTGTCATCATTCTCTTGCAAACACACGGCATCCTCAGTCTGGCCAACCTCTAACTGATCCTGTAACTGCTCCTCTTCTCTTGTGTCCTCTTGGACTTGTTCAACTGCATCATCGATGTCATTATTTTCAATTGGAGATGGTTCAACCTCCTCGTCCTCCACACAGGAGTCCAGAAGTGACGTTGCATCTTCAGGTTGCTGCTTAGTGATGCAGTCATGTAGAGGGATTCCTAGGATCCTTTCAGCTCGCTCCTCCAACTTTTCCCTCTCAGAAACCAAAGCTGAGGACATGCAGCAGGAAGAGATTTCACTTTGTCCCTCGGGTGCCTTTTTCTCCAAAAGATCTGAGTCTAGTTTGGTCTCAGGCACTTCATGGTGGGGGTTTGTTTCTGTGTTTTGGTCAGTTGTCTCTTCCTGATTCAGCTGACCGTTTGGTTGGACACATTCAGGAGAGACGGTCGTTTGAGTATCAAGTTGAATGTCTTCGGTGTGTAAATAGTGAACATGCTCTTTCTTGGGTGATGGAATCAGCTCCATTTTAACAACAACACAGGTTGTGTCGATAACCAGAAGACCCTTACTGTCCTCAGATTCTGTGTCTGTCTTGATGTCCAGTCTTCTTACTTCAACATCAATTGGATGAACTGTTCTTTCTGGGTCTTGCAGAACATCTGATTCTCCTTCCTCGCTGTTTGCTTTCAAACATGGGGATGATGTCTCAGTTTCAGCCCTGCTTGTAATCCTCGGCTCCCTCCACAGAGGATATTTCACTGACACAGAATTCACTGACTGAGCAACCATTCTCCCAAATGTAGAATCAGCATCACTTGTATTCCCTTTATCTGGGGACACAATATCTGTCTCTGCTTTTTCTGATAGATTAACCTCAAGCATCTCACTTTCTATGCAGGTTGGTGTCTCCTTCTGTTTGGCTTTGACATTCCTCCCATCACAAGTGTTTGACTGCTCTGTGAGTGTTGGCTCTCTGAAGTCCACCTCATCTGCAAGTTTGTGTGTTTGATTTATGCCACTACTGCCCCTGAGACTTTTTGGAATACCTCCTAATACTGTGTTTGTTTGTAAAGTACAAAGTGGCAAAGATGAGGTTTCTGTGGTGCCTGCTATTCGAGACACCAAGCAGAATATGGTCATCCCACCTGTCTTTTTCTTTAATCTGAACTCCCTTCCTTCAATTACCTTTGAGGACAGTTCCTCATTTATCTTTTTATTCTCAACTGTATGCACATACAACACACCCTCGCGCTGTATGTGTTGTTCCTGGATACTAAAAGGACTACTTGCCTGTAAAGCATCTGTTTCCTGTCGTCTGTGCTTTAGTCCTTCAAGCTCTAGAAAGCCTTTTTGATTCCCATCTGGTTTTGTAAGCTCCTCTTTCTCTCCTTTTCTGTGATCGCGCAGATCTGCAGATACATCCT